TGCTCATGCTGTCTCTCTCTCCTAGAAATAAAACATTAAAAAAAATTAAAAAAAAAAAAAGAAATTAATTATTACAAATAGTAATTAATATCCCATAGGTTAGAAAATCTGAAAAAAAACAAAAGCTTAAACAATGAATGGGTTAAAAAATATTTCACAAGGAAAACAGTAAACTAATAGTTTTATCAAAAAACTGAAATGCTAAAAATAAATTTATGAGATATAACTAAAGCAGTCAGTACTTAGAAGTTATGAACAGTCTTAAATATATTCACTACAAGTAAACGAGCTAGCATTTAATCCAAGAAGCTAGATGAAGAAATCAAAACAAAGTTGAAGCAACAGAATTATAAAACAAAACGCAAATGTATGACTTAGGAAAAACATCTATGGGGAGATAATTTTTAAAATCTCTTTCTTTGAAACCTAATAAACTAGGCAAGCCTCTAGTAAGTTTGATAAAGATAGATGTGTACCTACATAAGTGCATTATCACATGATGGAATACTGCTACTATTGAGCAGCTAGACTGGGTGAACCAGCTTGACATGTATAGAGGAATCACAGAAACATGTTAAAAAGAAAATTGCTGAATGATGAGAATTTCTGTAGTTTAGTTATCATTTCACAATGTTTTGTATGTTTATATATACAAATTGTGTGTGTGTGTGTGTGTATGCATAGGTATGTTGTGGATATTTACATAATAAAGTTACCTATAACATTTTCTTAAGAAATGTGAAGAACATGGCAAGATGTTAGCATTTGCAAATGTCTCAAGAAATTGTATGTTAGCCAATTTGACAATAAATTACATTAAAAAAAAATTAATATTATGTGTGCTTGAAGTTTCTTTTTGACCTTTCCTCAATCCCACTCTTTCTCTTCCTTCCACAGAGGTAACCATCCCGAAGATAGTGTTGTTTTTGTTTTGTTTTTTTCTTTCCCAACTAGTTTTATACCTTTACATTTTGGAATAACTCCCATTCTTAGAAAGTAGTTTATCTTTTTCCATTTTAGGAAATTATAACTTTCCTTTTACAGTTTTGTCTTCTAGTCATTTCTTTTACTTGACAAAAGAATGATTTCTTTCTTCACAAAACTAAGCAAACCAAATTAATACTGATATTTAGGCCCAAGGCCATAAAGAAGCCAATTTTTTTCTTAACACCAATTATGCTATGGATAAGCAAAACAAAACAAAACTGGAAAATAGAGTCACCATCCACTATAAATCTCTTGAGTATTTACTGGATGATTCAGCTAGCCTGGAAAGAATTACAGAAAAATATAAAAGAAATTGCTCAGTGTTCGCTGAAAAAAAAGATGGCTTCCTGTACTAATATATACTCTATTCACTGAACCCTTACCTGTTGCTTTTGTGGAATAAAAATTGAGTGATTTTATGTATATTCCATTAGTAGATATTTAACTCTGACCATCTGTAAGAATTCGTTTTCTGATATTGGTAGCCTGTGAGTAGCTTTCTTTCTGGAATCAGATAGTCATCCTAACTACCTTTATTTTATTTTTGGAGATGTTTAACCTTCATTATATCACTAAGTGCAGACTGACCGATGATGACACAGATCTTACTTCCAGCTATGGTAAAGGCCAATATCCACAGTCTAATTGCCTTGTACTCATTCTAGATTAGGCAGTTAAGTCCTTTTACAGTTTATCAAAGTTCCTAAGATCTTTCTTCAAAATGAAGAAATAAATTGCTGTTCTCTAAGAGATACTAGGCTTGAGTACCCTGAGGGAAAAACTAACATTTATGAACTATTTTCCCATGTTAAGAATCTCCTCTATGAGTTGCACTTGTCAAGTCAGTTAAATTTCAGCTTTTCTTTATCTCCTGTTGTTTGTATCTCTTCAAATTTTTTTATATCTTCCTGGGCTTAGAAACTCACAGATGCATTACCTAGCCATGTTTTTTGCCCCTTATATTCTGGATAGTTGATGTTTAAAAGAGATTTCATACAAACATGCAATTATTCTCAAATATATCACACCAATATCACATATTTTACATAATGAATAAAAATAGTATATCCCAGAACTTGCGAATAAAGCTGTAAAGTCATAGCTAAAAAAAAATTAGTCAAACTGATGTCTAATTGCCTGAAATTTCTTATGTGCTGTGTTCTACCTCTTCAGTTTAAAAATTTGCAGTTGTCACCAATGTAAAATCTCTACACTCGTAGAAAATTGAACATATTCATTCATTCATTTTTTGAGTAGACATATACATAGGCATTAAAAGTAATACAATGTTGGGGCACCTGGGTAGTTCAGTCAGTTAAGCATCTGACTTGTGATTTCAGCTCACATCATGATCTCACGGTTTGTGAGTTTAAGCCCTGAACTGGACTCTGCACTGACACTGCAGAGCCTGCTTGGGATTCTCTCTCTTTCTCCCTGTGCACATGCATGCACTCCCACTCTCTCAAAATAAACTTAAAACAAGTAATTATTTTTTTTTTGGAGAGAGAGAGAGCATGAGTGGGAGAGGAGCAGAGAGAGGGAGAGAGTGAACCCCAAGCAGGCTGCAAACTCAGCACGGAGTCTCATGTGGGACTCAATCTCATGAACCATAAGATCATAACCTGAGCCGAAATCAGGCACTTAACCAACTGAGCCACCCAGGTACCCCTAAAAGTAATAAAACTAACACAAGATATAGTTGTTTACCACAGGAATTTGGATTGGCTGGATAATGTATGAACATACCAGCATAGGGGCACCTGGGTGACTCCGTTGGTTAAGCCGTCCGACTTAGGCTCAGGTCATGATCTCACGGTTCGTGGGTTCGAGCCCCACATAGGGGCTCAGAGCCTGGAGCCTGCTTCAGATTCTGTGTCTCCCTCTCTCTCTGACCCTCTCCTGCTCACGCTGTCTCTCTCTCAGAAATAAATAAAACATTAAAAAAAAAAAAAAAAGAACATACCAGCATAATTCCTGATGGTGCAAAGCAGCATATGACCAATGCAGTAGTGCTCATGTGTTAAAAATGAACAATTAATTTGAGATCAGGAAGGTTTTGTGAAATTTCTGGGAGTTGAGAACTCAAATGGCTACTGAGCTAGTGTGTAGAAATGTAGAGACAAGGGAGAGGTGAGAATTATAATTAGAAAAATGAGTGTGACTTGACAGGGACCAGTCAAGTGTCTGACCTAGCTAAAGCAAAGGATCTACACTGGGAAAAAGTGAAGACAAAATTGATTACTAGAGCAGGTTGCATTGTGGAGGCTCTTTAAAAAGATATTTTTCTGAAATAAAGAGAAAAAAAATGATCCAAAGATCATTTGAAGTCCATCGATGGTTTCTTAGCAGATGAGTGAAATGATAAGATCTGTGGTTTGAGAAATAAATTTAGAGAAATTTTTATTTATTTATTTTTAATATTTGTTTTGAGAGAAAAAGAGAATGTGAGGTGGGGAGGAGCAGAGAGAGAGAGAGAGAATTCTAAGCAAGCTTCGTGCTTAGTGAAGAGCCTAATGCAGGGCTCAATCCCATGACCATGAGATCATGACTTAAACTGAAATCAGAAGTTGACACTCAACCAACTGAACCACCCACGTGACCCCAGAGCAAAGTTTATTAATATATGTTAATAAACAGGATCATTAATTAATGGAGTTACTCCAAAAGGGTCAAGTACTATCAAATAAATGCGGAAAATACTGTTTTGTTTTTTTTACTGTGGGTTTGCTCTAAGACTTTAATATGTTATTGGGCATTTGACTTCCAAAAGGAAAATTCATCATTTCCCAAACCTATTTGACCAAAAAACCCTTTCTAGGAAAACAATGCATGGATCAATATTTTGTATGTGTTGGTACCAATCTTGGTCTATACACTGACATATGTTAAAGAAATGCAGAGTTCTTCATTTTTAAATAACTCACTTGATGTCTAGCTTGATCCTTTGTTCCCAGATTGGTAGAAATTCAGGGTCTCTTAATTTCCTCCATGAGTGTCTATGTTCTGGGGTCTTCCAGAGCCAAGGTGTTAGGAGGTTGTGAAATGGTGAGGTGGCACATATCTGGTGGTCAGTGTCATTGATGTATACTAGTATCTGCTGAGATGTCCTAGTTGCTCTCTGGTCCTGAGGAATTGGTCTGTACTATTGTTGCTGAGACATGTCTTTCAAACCCAGTGATTCTCTCTATTTCTTCCATAGTTTTGTGAGATTGAGGGGAATACTTCTACTTACTGATCTTTTCCATGCTGAGATAAAAGAAACTGTGAATATACAGGGCCTATCTTTCTTATCATGTCATTTAGCTATTCTATGATTATTTCTACCCAAATCTTTTACTCTATGCCACGAATCATTTTTTGTTTCCTAGGAAATTAAATTTTTAAAATTTCATAAGAACCAAAGAGCTCCCTTTTCCTCTTTTTCTGCTAGGGTTCTATTCCCTGAGGAAATGATTTAGTTGTCTCTTAAGACAGCTTGGGACAGGGGGAAGGATAGAGGCAAGGAGTACTTGAGGTACAAATCAGTTATTATATCAAAGATACTTCCTACTAAGCTTGGAATACCCTTTAAGAAATGCTGGTGTACAGAAATGATGAAAAGGATGTGTGTGGTAGTGGTACTGCCTTGAGTTTTGATGATCACGCATGATCTCAATAAATGATGAATGCCTCCTCGTCTTGTAAATCATTGTCTGTCGCATGGTCCTTTGCACAGTCCTCTCCCACATCAGCTTCTTGCTCTTGGAAGCTTGTCTTCTATCACGTGAAGTCCAGGCTAGCTTGTTGAAGACATGAGGACCGCATGAGAGCCAACACCAACATACAGACACATAAGATAGCTCCAGATGAACTACAAGCTTACTGCAAGTGTACAGTGAACTTAGTGGAGACAGAACTGCTCAGATGAGTCTCCACTGAAGTTAATATGAATCATAAGCAAATAAAATGGTCATCTGACCCGCTGAGTTATGAAATGATTTTTCATTGCATCAGTATAAAAATATACAACACAAAACAATACAAAAAATATATAATGTGGTAGGCATTGAAGATACAAGAGATATTTTGTGGGAATCTTACCTCAGTAGGGATAAATGGGATCAAGGAAAAGAAAAACTCAAATGGGATAAACTGGGGCCTTGGAAGGGGCTCATTTCTCATTTGTTGGAAAAAAAAAGTTCTTTATACTTCCTATTTTATAGGAAATTAAGACAAAGGAAGGATCAAGCATCATTATGGAGATTCTAGTCTTCAGTGACTTAGAAAACTGTAGATAGGTAGCTAGGTGGATCCATGCCAGACAGGGTCTTGGTATCATCCTGCAGTTGTGACTTTTTGTAAATCACTCTCACGCTCACCGGTGTGGATTCAAGAGGTTGTTGTGCTGTCACTGATGAAATAAAAAACACAGAGTTGTCTTATATAAGTATATTCCCATGTCTGACACTAGACTCATCTTTTTTTTTAATTGAATTTTTTTAATGTTTTATTTATTTCTAGGGGAGAGAGAGAGAGAGAGAGAGAGAGAGACAGCGTGAGCAGGCAGGGGAAGAGAGAGAGGGAGTCACAGACTGAAACAGGCTCCAGGCTCTGAGCTGGCAGTCAGCACAGAGCCCGACGCGGGGCTCGAACCCACGAACCACCATATCATGACCTAGGCGAAAGTCGGACGCTTAACCGACTAAGCCACTCAGGCGCCCCAGACACTAGACTCATCTTAATTCCTGATGACATGTATTTTCCTAAAGAAATACAGAAAATATATATATATTACATATATAATATATTTATTTATATATATAAATATATATATGTAAATATATATATAAATCTTATAAAATGGACTCCTGCCAAGTAACTGTGACTTGCTAGGCTCAAATAATACTAGTTCTAGTCTCAAGGGAGCTTCCCCTAGCCCTATTAACTGCTTTTTTACAAATTTATTTTACATCCATTATCTTACTTAACCTTTACAACAATTCTAGGGTTCAGACATTATTTTCATCCATACTTTATGTGCTTTTTAAATATTTATTTTATTTTTGGGAGAGCCAAGTGGGGGAGGGGCAAAGAGAGGGAGGCAGAGGATCCAAACTGCACTGACAGGCTGACAGTAGCTAGCCTGATGTTGGGCTCGAACTCACGAACCACTAGATCATGACCTGAGCCAAAGTTGTATGTTCAACTGACTGAGCCACCCTGGTGCCCCCATCCACATTTTAGAGATGAATAAAGTGATACTGAGCTAGTATAATTGCCCAAAGGTAACATAGCTGGTAAATGAGGGCACAGGAATTTATACTCTGGAAAGGTTATTTGGCATCAAATCAAGTCCTTTTTTCTCAATGATGCCAGTTCTTTTCAACCCATTTCAAAGAGCACTGGAATCCTGCAACGCCTCAGAGACAACTGAGCAGAAAAAGGAGAGAGGAGGGAATAAAACAAGCAGTGGTCTGGGCCCTTTGCTCTGGTTTTCACCAGAGCACATTTGGTGAAATGTAATATAATGTATAAATATTACATTTATAATATAATAAATATATATGGTACCCATTTTAAATTTTGTTTGAAACAATTCCCACTGTATCATACCATCATGTCTCTTAATTTTGCTATGATCTACACTCAAGTTTTCTTGAAGTCAGAGATCTCATCTTATCCTGTCTTTGGTCTCACAATAGGGTGAGACCTCCCTTGACCTGTGAGCCAGACTTCGGAAGAAGGAGCAGATGGAAATCACTGCCCTGGGGATGTGCCCTGGGCTCCAGAACAGCACAGTCTAAGCATCTCCCATGACCCCTGACAACCTTGGTGTCTGCTTCTCACCGAAGCCAATTAAATTATTCACAGTACCTGCAGCGTTCTCTCTGTTATCACAGCTCGTTGAACTCTCTCCCAAGAGAGAAGTGATGTCTTCCCCAAATATCTTGAGGCAGTTTTCAATGAGAAATTGTACAAGAGAAACCTGTAACACAAGACAACAAAAATGAGGCACTTTTTTTTTATATGGCATAGTTATAAATCACATTTTGTATATGAATCTTGGATCTAACAAAAAATGTGAAAGAATTCTTGGGAAAAATTCTGAGTTGACAAAAATATATAGAAATGAGAGTTCTCTAAGAAATAACTGTGATACTTTCCAATATAATTTGGGTCTAGATTTTAAAATACTGTTGAAAAGTTAGCTAAAGTTATAATTTGTGACCTAGTTTAATAGCTAACATTTTGATATCAATGGTTACATCTTGAAAACTAGGATAATTTTTGAAGTAACCCACATTATTAAATTTTACGTTTTAAAAAAATGTTTCCAGTTTTATTGAGCTGTAACTGACATATAAGATCTTACTAAAATTTATAAAACATAGACAGGGGCGCCTGGGTGGCTCAGTAGGTTAAATGTCCTACTCTTGATTTTGGCTCAGGTCATGATCTCATGGTTCAGTTTGTGGGTTTGAGCCCCAGGCAGGCTCTGTGCTGATAGCAAGAGCCTGCTTGGGATTCTCTCTCTCCCTCTCTCTCTTTGCCCCTCCTCTGCTCTCTCTCTCTCTCAAAATAAATAAATAAATCTAAAAAATTTTTTTAAAATAAAGCATAGACCAAAACTTATGAAATTCACTTCTTAAATGAAGAAGTATCTTAAACTTGAGAAACAATGACTGCTGTAGTGTCTTTGTGAAGGAAAACCCATGCAGCTAGAGAGAAAACATGTCTGTCTAACTGCAATACCTTGCCTCACACTAGCTTTCTAGGTGAGCTTGGGGAAGAGCTGTGATCTTATTAAGCATGTTATGGCTCCATTAGGATAGTCTGGAATCTTTTACTAGTTTCCTTATGACATAGCACAGGCAAAATAGTAGCCACATATTTTTCTAAATGAGCCACAACCGGGAGAGGAAGGCCAATGTATTTGGAGCCATGGGAGCTTGCCCAAGCCACCGAGGATGTGCCAGTAATGACCAGAGGAGCTGGGTGTGGTCACCATTGTGTACTGGGGAAACTGTGGCTTTGCCCAAGGTTACATGTCCCTCAAGGATTAGGCTGAGAGTTGAACCTTGACTTGTCAAACTCCAAAGCCCAGGCTCTTTTCTTTTTTCTTTTTTAATCAACAATTCTTTTTTTATTTATTTCTGAGGGAGAGAGAGAGAGGGAGAGAGAGAGAGAGAGAGAGCTTGAGCATGGGAGGGTCAGAGAGAGAGGGAGATACAGAATCTGAAGCAGGTTCCAGGCTCTGAGCTAGCTGTCAGCACAGAGCCGACATGGGGCTCGAACCCACGAACTGTGAGATCATGACCTGAGCCGAAGTCAGATGGAGCCACCCAGGAGCCCCGGCTCTTTTCTATTCATGCTACTCCCCTCCAGTTTGTCCAGGCAACCTAGTGTGTAGTCTCCTGGATGGGGAAGAAGCTACTCAACTGCTCTGAGTTTACCGCTTAACAACAACCCTTGCCGTAACACCCGCAGAGCAGGATAAAGCACTCTGCCACTTCAGGGCAGCATAATATAAACGTGCACTTTGTGAAACAGATCCATCCGAGTTGTTACTGCAATTTTCAGGTTCAGTATCCCAGTAGAGGATAAAAATGAGAGGTCTCATTACCTTTTTTATGAAGTTGCTTTCTAATTCCGAGCTGCAGGAATTAGATAAACAAAGAATGCTTGGGGCTATACACACTGATAAATTGTAAGCTGTCATCTGATTGGATGAGGAATGCTGATCAATGTTGTATAACACTCCAAAAAGGTATCGCAAGAGGACAACATTCACTCTTGGCAGTTGGTCTAAAAGCCTAAAATTAGAAAAGTGCACTTTTAAATAAGGCAAGTCATTTCACTTAGTTGGAAATCGATAGATAGGGAACAGAATACTTCTTTGTGTATCTAGAACACAACCCACTGTAATGGAGTGCCAGGCATGAACGTATACAAAAGTGTTTCACTGAGTTCAGTTCCTGAACCAGATACAAATTTCTCTGGTTAGTTAAATGTTTGACAAACTGAAGGTCGTACCACCAGCAGTTGATGCTGGAGCATCTCTTTTAGACCAGTGGATTTTGTCTACCAGTTTCATATATTCAGAAGGTGTAACATGGTCAAGGATTCCACATTAATAAGATCAGAAGAAAAATAAAAATTCAATAATAGTAGTAAGGCATGCCTCTGTTTTTAATCTGGCCACCATGGGTATGAAGAATTGAAACTCATTGACATGATTTTAGTGGATAAAGCTATAAACTATAAGCCAATATTTTCCTAATAGTTGGTTATATTTTTGAGACATGCCTGGAGTAATAACTACATCATTACCTCTGGGCTGCAGTTACTTTCTCCTCCTCACTCCCTTGATCAGTAACACCAAGCCATTTGTCATAGAGATCAGATGAAAATATACTTCCTTGGATATTTCTAAGAAAATCCTTATGTAGATAAAAAAATATATATATATATATAAGTATAATTCATACAGAAAATATGTACTGGAAAACTTACAGAGAAAACATTTAGTTGAAAAATTCAGTTCAGTCCCCACTTCCTTCACAGATACCCAAACTGTGACCCACACAGAGCTGGGTTCTCACTCTCCATTGACTTGCACATACACAAACAGTGCTTGTATTTTTTTCCAACTAAAACTTAAGGGCATAAAAGCAGAGCCTAGGTTTTGGTGGAAATGAAAATAAAGCTCCCTTTATCATCTGCAATTTACTCTTTTGTGTACATTTTAGCAAACTACGACAAACTGACAAGGTCTGGAGATAGATCATCTTAAATTCTATTAGCTTCTTGGACAGAAATACACAGACCCATTTTTGCTTGTTTACTTTAGACACAGTGTTAGCTCTTCATTCTAGCAAGAAAAGTAGTCAAACAAAACACACACGTGTGCTCTTGCACACATATCAGGAAAGAACTGAGTCTTCTGACTTGTATATGTGCTTCTTGGGAGAACGCTACTCTCATACTTGCTTCATTCTTCCTTTTTTAAAAAAATTTTTAATGTTTTATTTATTTCTGAGAAAGAGACAGTGTGAGAAGGGGAGGGTTGAGAGAGAGGGAGATATAGAATCTGAAGCAGGCTCCAGGCTCTGAGCTGGCTGTCAGCACAGAGCCTGATGCGAGGCTCGAACCCATGAACCATGAGATCATGCCCTGAGCCGAAGTTGGACGCTTAACTGACAGAGCCACCCAGGTGCCCCATTCTTCCTTTTCTTAACTGTATAAAAGTAGACAGGCTAATGGCAAACTCATTGTCAACCTGATGATATATTCCTTTCTGGTTTAGGCCAATTCTCCAGTCAGTTTGACATGATATTATAAAGGTCAAGGTTGCAAAGTCTGAATCTCCACCAAGATCAGTCAACTTTAGGAAGAAACAATGTTAGAAATGTCTATGAACCATATCCACAAGTGGCCACCCTCTTCCTATACTGTGCTTACAAGATGGAAATAGGAAAGAATGTACAGACTCTTGCTAGAAAACCAATTCCAAGTGTGTACCTTACAGAGGGCAACACTTATCTTGCTATTTGCATACCTGGTGTATCATCATTTTTCCCGTTTCTTGATGCCTGTATGTATATTTTTACTGGTGTATATTACTATGGCCCCAGTGTACTTGTGGTCAACTAAATCATTCTGGACTATTGCTATTTATTATATGGTCAAATATTAATGGGGGCTAAGGAAAGGCCAAATGTGACTGAGGTTGTAATATAATTTTAATAACCTGTTTGTAGTCATTATTACAGTGACAAATTTTTGTTCAGAGCTGTTAACAGGTGTTGAGATTAATTAATTAAATTCTTTCTCTGTTCTGTTATTCCCCATATAGAAATGTAACTGGATACTTGTGATTTAGCTGTATCATTTCAAAATTAATCGAAAATCTATTGAATTTTCAGAATTCCAAACTAACTTTGTTGCATCCACTTTAAAAGTTAGATTTGTAGGAAGAGGCATGTGGCAGGAAATGGTTACTATGTAGTTATAACCTTGGGATGGTAGATTAAACATAACAAATATTAACAAAGGATGCCGATAAGGTGAAAGACACAACTGGTGAAGTCATTCCTATGCTGCATTTAAAGTATAAGGCATTAAGAAACATGGGAAAGAATGATTAAGTGGACAGAGAGTTTGGTGGCCTCATTGAGCCTTTTTTGATTCATCATAAAAAAGTACTTGCTCACTATGGTAAACTTCTAAACTTATTTTCAAATGTTTAACATGAATTTTCTTTTGGAAACTTTGCCTTCATTTTTATGAGGGTGGTGAGGAAGTCATCAAAAGCAGGATGTTTGCTTCAGTAAATATTCTGTATGTGAAACTGTATATTTTGAAATTTATTATTATTACTAGTATTAGTATTTTGCATGGAGTCTTCAGGAGTGAAGGTGGGGAGGGTGGCGTGTGATGAAATATGGGGCTTTTAACTCCTAAAGTAGCTTCTTTAAATTTTGACTTTGTGATGTGTTTTTCAGTTTGTCAGATACTTAATCTATTATGCCTATTATGGTTCTTGGGCAATCACGATGAAGGATACCCATCATAGCTTCAGTTACTCAAGTGTCAGTAATGCTAGAACTTTCCCTACCTTTAAGACAGATGCTACCACAAGAACAGATTCACTGGCCAAGTTCACTTTGTCCCCGGAATTTAGCTTCTCCTTCAGTATTCTGCATGATTTCATATTGGCTGATTTTCTGAAGATTCCTTCTGTGAGTGGCCCTTTTTTATTGATAAAGCAAAGCATATCCTATAGAAAGAAAAGAAAAGTACATGATATTTCATATCCATAAACCCAGAACACAAGCTTGCCTCCTTTTTGAAAAAGCTAGGGAATATGATGGTACAGTGTTTTAGAGCTCAAAGGACTAAAGTAAATTTGGATTTTATTTTTCAGCATCTTTAAATATATTTTTTTTTAATGTTTTTTTTTATTTCTAGGAGAGAGAGAGACAGTGTGAGCAGGGGAGGGTCAGAGAGAGAGGGAGTCACAGACTGAAACAGGCTCCAGGCTCTGAGCTGGCAGTCAGCACAGAGCCAGACGCGGGGCACGAACCCAAGAACCGCGAGATCATGACCTAAGCGAAAGTCGGATGCTTAACCGACTAAGCCAACCAGGCGCCCCTTTAAATATATTTTCTACACAGAAATATACTTTACAGTGATACAGTAAAACATTTTAAACACTTGTTTTAATCAGATTTTTCTTTTCAGTGAGTTTGCACTTTTAAAAAGTTAGTCTTTGTGTCAAGGCCTTTTTAGAATCACCCTCTCTCTCCTACCCCACCATTCTTCTTTCATTGTTCCCTTGAATACATGCTGTTCCCCAAGTGTGGGAATCTCTTTGTCACATTCATTTCCCATTTGTTTATTCCTCTATAAGTGACTGAATACTCCATTCCTACTTCCTTTCCTTCTTTCCCTCTTTTAAAATCAGGCTCAAAAACTCTCTTCCTTCTCTGATTACATTCCCTTCCCATGGGTGTTTCATTGCCTTTTGCTGTACCTTCATGTCCTCTATCTGCAGTATAGAAAGATAATAGGGGTTGGAGTCAGCTAATCCCAAGGATCTGAAATGTATTGTGTGGTGTGTGACCTAGGACACATACATTCTTTACTGAGGCTTTTCTAATTCATTTGTGAAGTAAGGATGATGATATTCATAGCTACCCCATAAATTTGCTGACTAGGGTAGTAGCTAGCATATGAGTAACATCATAAGTTACTTCATATCTAGCATAACATTCCCTACATCTAGGATAGTACTTAGAGACACCCTGGACACTCAATAAATGTTAACACTGACAGTTCAGTACACCAATTTGAGATAACACAGGCCAAACCCTGTGGCTTTCATTTGACGTATTCTGTTAGGATTAACAGATTCGTATTTGCCAGAGGATGAGTCGCTATGCTTCGTGAGACATTTTGAGTCGTACGATTGAGTAGACTCAGCTGAAAACAGACGAAAGTGAGTTCAGGAAGGCAATGGAAAGAGAATGTAAAGGTGAGGTGGGCTCTCAGAGATTCACAGAGTCCATATCTTGACCGGTCTGAACAGGCCTATGTGGTCTTTGTGGAAACAAGTAGAATGGACAAGAGTTATCTTTTCCTGTTGTATTTGCCTCATGACTTTGCAGAACCTGAATTAGATTTTATTCTTTGAAGTAACAGTTACAAAGCCTCCCAGCCAAAGCCAGGAGCTGGCTAATTATTTCTCTATTTGGATGTAGATTTGAATGAGAATACTTGGCCTCTCAGAGCTCCCCATCCTCAGGAGGGCTAACGGGAGACCAGAATGAGACCTACCAGAATGGGGGAGGGCAGGTTGTCATTATCACACATGTCCTTGAGGGAAACTCTGAAGAGCTGGCCTGGCTTTGCAGAAGATGATGCTGTGCACTGGCTGTCCTGGAACTTTCTGGAGCCCCGCCGAAAGGCCCAATTTAAGAAAGCACTCCTTTTAACTGTCTTCTGGCCTGAATCTAATGAAGAAGTGAGAGTAGTCATAGTAGTAGTAAAGTTTAATTCTCTTAACCTTAATTTCTCCATTTCTGTTTAGCAGCATATTCGTTGCGATGGGTAGAAGAGGCAAACTGAGTCATTTGTGTAGTGTTCTCCACATTCTGAAATTGGCTCATAGCGTCCTTGTGGTGTTACTGTGTTCTTGCCCATAGCCTACAAACTGATAGTTAAACCTGGAGACTTGATCAGACTCAGGGTCAATACTTCCGGTGCCATTTACTACCTGTTATACTACATCATGAGGCACTTAACCTGTAGTTGTTAGTTTCCTATCGTTAAGTATGATCAGTGGATTCATGTGTCAGATCTCACTTTAAAAGCTAAAACAATTGGGCATTCAGATCAAGCAGAGTTTGGTAATCATCTGTTTTCACAGATTTCCTCTTTGGTTTTCTGTCTCTGATCAAAAGGATCTGCCTTTCATGACACATATCTGCTTGACCCTACTTCTCAGTCAGCCTGAGGCTTCTCTATCCTTAGCCATCCCCATGGATGACTTTCTGCAGGTAGTGTCCCTGGAAAGTAGTCTTTACATGCTGGCTATGTGAGAAGAATATCCAGGTGGCTGTGTTTCTTCCTTTTTTAAAAAAAATATTTTTAATGTTTATTTATTTTGGAGAGAGACAGAAAGAGAGTGAGACACAGAATCCAAAGCAGGCTCCAGGCTCAGAACTATCAGCACAGAGCCTGATGTGGGGCTCGAACTCACAAACAGGGAGTTCATGACCTGAGCCAAAATCAGCCGAACAACCTACTGAACCACTCAGGCATCCCTCTTCCTTTTTTTTTTTTTTTTTTTTAAGTTTTATTTTTAAAACTTTAAATTTTTCACAAAATTTATTTATTTTGTGAAAAAGAGAGAGAGAGAATCTGTGTGTGTGCGCGCATGTGCGCACACACTCGTGTGAGCAGGGGGAGTCACAGAGAGAGAGTAGAGGAAGAATCCCAAGCAGGCTCCAAGCTGCCAGCCCAGATCCTGACTCCAGGTTCCATCTCACAAACTCTAAGATCCTGATCTAAGCCAAAATCAAGAGTCAGACTCTTAACCATCTGAGCCACCCAAGTGCCCCCAGGTGGCTGTGTTTCTTATGACACTACTAAGCTAACCAGAGATGATTTTTAATTATCCAACACCCCTTGTCAAAGGAATGCAGAAGAGCTTCACAAAGAAAAGGTGATCAGCAATGGGAAAGCTGAGTTCAAAGTTTCTACTGCTCAGCTCTCAATGATTTCCTTGTAAGGTACCTTAACATTTGCTTAAAACATCTGTTAAATAACAGAATTCTTTAAAAGTCAAGACAGGAGTCAAGTTAAAACTTGGATAAACAGATGAGCAACATTTAAACACCCACCCAGTGGCTGTTCTGGGACATAGTGAGTGCATCGCCATGTCACCTCATGTGGGTGGCAACACTCACGGGCCCTTCATCAGAGAGACCAAGATCTAAGAACCGGAAGTGTCCTGGCTCTGCCACTTAGATAGATAAATTGCTCAAAAAATTTTAAGTTTCGGTTTGCTCAAATTTAACATAAATGACACTACCTACAACTCATTGAACTAAATATAATGTACTCCTCATGCAAGGCCTGGCTCATGGCAGCCTTGATCAAAGTAATTTCCTTGCTGAAAGGGCGTACGGCAGTCTAGATATCAGTCTCTTCCCTGCAAAGCAGACCTCAGTCCCATTCTCTATTTCATTTTCCAACCTCTAGAATGCATGCAGTCATGAAGGAATCCACCACTTTGCCTAACTAAGGCTCTTTCTTCCTGCCCTGAAAAACATACCCTTATATTTTTAAAGGAGCAAAAGGAAGAAAGCAAATCCATTCTTAAGTCTAGAAGGAGATTACTGTACATCAGAACTTACAAGTGTTTGCTTAAGATACAAGTTAATATAGAAGTTAAGTTGTGGTATGCAGCCTGGTTTCCCTACTCTTTACCCTAGTATTATTATTTCTAAAACTATTCACATATATTACATTATTGAGCTTTAACTAAGAACGCTGTTAAGAAGAGTGCTGTATCCCTGGATACAAAGCTATATATCTAGCTACTCCATGAGTATATACAGAAAGTAAGTAGATGGGGTACCTGATTGGCTAAGTGTCTGACTCTTGATTTTGGCTCAGGTCATGATTTCATGGTTCACGGGATCAAGGTCATGTAGGGCTCTACACTGACAGCACGGACCCTGCCTATGATTCTCTCACTTCCTTTCTCTCTGCCCCTCCCCCATTCGTGTGCACTCTTTGTCTCTCTCTTTCTCTCTCTCTCAAAATAAATAAATATTTAAAAACAAAAAAAGCAAGTAGATCTGAAGTCCTGTACTTTCTCAAAAACATTTTCAGGCTTACATTACCTACCTTTTGTAATGTACATTATTTGGTGTTAGAGTTCATGTTGCCTCTGTGACTAATAAAAATATATGCTATCGACAAGAAAAACATGGGAATAATTAAGCTAACTTTATAGAAATCTCTATTTTCTTAAACAGTACTGGCAAGATTTAGGTTACATTTCCTAAAGATCGAATTAGGGTATAAACATTAAAAAATAACATTTTTGAAATTTTGAGCTTATAGAATAACAATAATAACAATAAAAATACTTTCAATTTTGGCCCCAATACTTCTCAGGTTAATATCACATTTTCATCAGAGAAAGAAATATCAATAGGGGAATATTGGAATGGTAGAGAAAAAATAGCTAGAAGGAAGATTAAAAAGCCCCAACCATAAACATCGTCTAGCTCCAGTCTAGACATGGGTCTGAAACACATGTGGAAAGTGGTAGTAGAATTGAGAGTTCAGTTCTTTTTTTTTAAAGTTTTAAAAATATTTATTTATTTTTGAGAGAGAGAACACACACAGGCAAGCACACACACAAATGAGAGAGAGGCAGAGGGAGAGGGAGACAGAGAATCTGAAGCAGGCTCCAGGCTCTGAGCTGTCAGCACAGAGCAGGACACAGGGCTTTAATCTACGAACCGTGAGATTACACCCTGAGCCGAAGTCAGATGCCCAACCCAGCCACCCAGATGCCCTGAGAGTTCAGTTCTAACTAGAACCTAAGGCCACTTCATCCTAAGCCCAGAAGAAATGCAGTTCAATTCTGTAACTCTTTACTCCACTGAAGTTCTTCTGTTGTTCTGTGCATTTAGGTCACACAATCTAGATGTCACACCTCCTGTGATGGCCTGAGATACTAGACAAAACTTCTCCTGGAATGGAGAAGACATGTTTCTAGGCCATAAAAAGCTTGTGCTCTAATAAGACACACTGCTGTACACACACAAAACTATGTGGAAAGGGCTCTGGGTTTACAGAGAAAAGAGTAACGGACTATCTCGAAGAATTTAAAGCAAAAGACCTTCCTAGAAGTGCATCAGGTTTTGATTTCAGACCTTTGGGAGTTTCTCGAAGCCTGATTCTGGATCGGTATTGGATCTTGACTATACTGTTCCTCCCCACCCCCACATGGAGAACAAGCTTTGTGTCATGAATTTGTGTCTAAGAGTAGAGATATGAGCTAGGAGAAAGCACTTGAAGGAAGGGAAGGGGCTCACCTCTCCCTTGCTGGTTCTGCACTGGGTGCCTGGGCTTCAGAATGAACTGGCCTTGCATCTCTGGGAACCCCTCATTTGGAAGGAGGGGTTCCCAGTAGGTAGAAGGATCGATGGAGGGCTCTGGTCCCTGTGGCAGCAGCAGAGTAGATGGAAGATGGCTCATTTTAATTCCATAAGGATGTTCATGCCCTGTATGGAGAAAAATCTAAATGTAAATTCAAGCTGATGGTGATGGCTGTCATCAAAGTTACCTTACTGTGAGTGTGTGCATCACACTGGTATATGCTGCTCTTCTCCTGGGGATTCCTCTCCTGAGTGAGCACCATATCCCTGCTTATGGGGGACACACTGCAAAAATCAGGCGCTCAAGGGAAAGATTTTAAAAAGAGAAAAGTTAAAGCATTTTACTCTGTTTGGGATACACAGATTCATCAGTGCATTGGTCTGCACGATGTTGGCTCTTGCTGTTTCCATCTGAGAATATTTAAGGCCTTCTAGTTTCTGAACGCTAACTAGATCTGTACATCTTAGGCAAACTATTTGACCCCTTTGTGTCTTACAAGCATCCTTTGAAATGCTTACCCACAAACTTATAAGGATAAGAGTAAATATGTTAATAAACATTGGTGATTAACATTTTTTACACAATTGAACATAGTATTTTTTAATGTTTTATTTATTTCTGAGAGAAAGAGAGACACACACACAGACAGCATGAGCAGGGTAAGGTCAGAGAGAGAGTGAGATACAGAATCTGAAGCAGGCTCAGACTCTGAGCTGGCTGTCAGCACAGAGCCCAACGTGGGGCTCGAACCCAGGAACCGCGAGATCATGACCTGAGCTGAAGTCGGACACTTAACTGACTGAGCCACCCGAGCCACCCAGGCACCCCATGAACATAGCATTTTTTAAAATGTTTCTTCATTTCCTGAGGGAGACACACACACACAGAGTATGAGCAGGGGAGGGGCAAAGAGAGAGGGAGACACAGAATCGGAAGTAGGCTCCAGGCCCTGAGCTGTCATAATAGAGCCTGACGTGGGGCTTGAACCCATGAACCACGAGATTATGACCTGAGCCGAAGACAGACGCTTAACCTACTGAGCCATCCTGGCGCCCCAATTGGATATACTATTAAGACTTGCTATGTTCACTATTCTCTCACACATGATATCAGTTGAACAGATTTTTCATTTCCTTTTGTCAACTCTTGAGTCAGAGCTACTCCAGGGTGATGGGATGGGATGGGTTGCCTTTATGCTTTGTGCTTCCCTCCCACTACCGCCCTCCCTCTGAGGGCTGTTCTGCCTGGCAAGGATCAGAAGGAAAGCTGTTTACAGACTGGGAAACCGCACCCAGAATCATGGACAGTGGCCTGCCAAGTGATTTGCTTTGCTCTTTTATGTTTTAAATTGTTTCCTCTCCACAGCATCCTCAAAAGACCCTGTGCTGTGATATGGATTTCATTTTTTAAGAATAGAATGAAAGTTGTCTTTCTGTCATTTCTGATTTATTTATTGGATGTAACTTGGGGAGCTTTTGCTGCTCCTTTTCATCTGGCACAGACACAACGTCAATGCTCGGTTCACAAGAACCACAGTGACTTCCCTCCTTTAAGGCAAAAGAAGCTTCTATGACAGCAGTACAACCAAATCACCAAGATAACCAGGGGTTAATCTGCAGTTGAGAATTGAAAGCATGTTAAGAAAGGCATTTCGAATGCTGCTAAAGGATCATGAATGATGGGCTCTTTGGATTCCTCAGAGCTGCCTTCATGCTTGAGGCTGTTCTAAGTCTCAAAAGTTCTCGTCTATATTGTTTTATCTAAATCAATGTGCTTTATTAAAATAAATATATTTAAGTATTTAATTTTTTTCCTTTGTACTGCTGACCAACTTTTACAAAGATGTCAACGTTAATACAAAAACATGAAATGGTGGGGTGATTTTGTCCTCAGCTATGTCCTCGGTGACTCTCTGGGAATATATGTTTCATAAAAAACATTTGTCTGTTTAGATTTCCAGATCACTTGAAAATACTCTTTAGATCACTTGAAAAAGAGCAATAGCTTCACAGGATTATCAAAAGGATAAAAAATGCATGTAAGAGGGAATGCTTGTAAGAATGTATGTAAGAATTCGAGCAGAAATCATTGTCACTATTATGATATATTACTATACTTCAAGGTCTACTACAGATCCTGTTCTCTTGTTTTAGTTTTTCTACTTCTGGTAAACACTAAACAAATTGGCTAACCCAAAGATTTTTTCTTAGATCACTCGTTTGATAACTGTTTTAGGAGAGGTGCAAACTGTTTATCAATAACCTTAACAACAATGCTAGCAAAAGCTTGAGAAACAGCAAAATACAGACAGTTTAGTCAGCGAAGACTTGAGGAGTTAAAATGTGATTTTCTCATTTTTTTTATGATGCTGAAAAACCTCTGAGCACAGGACAGGTGTTCAGTGTATATTTATACCTGGATTCAGAGAGATGATTGGATTTAGAGGATTCTCAAAATAGAAGCTACTTAGTACTTAGGTACTTAGGAAATGGAATTCAAGACTGGAAAATGAAAAATAAATGTATGGGGAAAAAGAAATTCTAATCCATTTTGCATTCATACCTAAGTAAGTGGGTAAATAAGTAAATAAATAGACAAAAATTTTCAATACAGGTCTGTCTTTCAGGTAAAAAAAAAAACAATAGACAAATATTTCATAAAAAACATTTGTTTGTTTAGATTTCCAGATCACTTGAAAATACTCTTTAGATCACTTGAAAAAGAGTAATAGCTTCACAGGATTATCAAAAGGATAAAAAATGCATGTAAGAAAATTTACATTTCTCTCCCCAACTAGACCATAAGCTACTGAATGAAGAGATGTTATCAGTGCCTGGTAAAGAGCAGGTACCTAGGAATGACTTGATAAATGTGTGAGTGAGTGTTGCATGTAATTTTTACTTTTAAGGGTATTTAAGCTAAAGACAGAACAATCATTACCTTGAGACTTGGAGTTACAATTCTGAACCTACACAACCCCATCTTAGATTGTCCCTGACACTTACCAATGAGTGGGTGTGGGGCTTTTCCTTTGCCAGAACTGATCCACAGCTGGTAGTCTTTCTCAGAGCCCTTGGAAACAAAAGAGATTACGCATCACAACAAATCTTTCCCACTACTTGAAGAACACATTTTCTTAGCATTTCTATATTTTGAAAAAGAATTAGGGCCAGTATGAACGCTCTTTGGTCTATGGAGGTAGCTGCAATTTTGGAGTTAACGGCATTTGTTAACTTGTTCCCCTCACAGCCTCCAGTAGACCATTACAGATTCTTGTCATTTTTTGACAAAAGTCCAGGGAACCACAGTACAATCAGCACACTCACTTTGTGGGTGGCCCTTGGCTTAAGAAGTCACTGTTGTGCCCCTTCACCAAGGAGGAAAAGTCTAATCTAGGAAGTCTTGCCTTCTGCTGTTTCTAGACCCCTTTGATAAAGTTGGCTTTTGTCTCCAAATGTCCCTGTCCAGACAAGCATATTGTCCAGTGAGCCACATACCCTGCCATGACTATTCCTCAGAAAAGGACTTGAAAGGCAATGATAACTCAACAGCCCTGAGCAAACAAATGCCCAAGAAGCTTTGAGGAGTTAGTGAAGTCAAGTCGACCACTGGCTTTGATACAGACATGCCCCACTACAGGAAGAGAAGAGACAAGAACCCTTACATAGAGAATAAGTCAGATGCAGGAAACAATTAGTCACAGCAGAATTATTGCTCAGGAATACTGGAAATCCCACTTGAAACTAACAAATCTAAATTATAAAGATTGTGAACTATTTTAAAGAGTCTTCTAGGAGAATAAAGTAAAATATATTTGAAATGGAGTTGTTGATGATAGGTACTATGTTTGTCCTTGACTTCTGATTAAAAATCATGGCCCTTGCCCTTATGAAGGAAGGTCACTGGTATGGAAAGTATCACACACACACACACACACACACACACACACACACAGCTAAATCAGCTCAATATTGTATTGAAAATAGGAAGTAAGAGCTAATTAGAAACTTTTTCTTTCAGGTAGGGTTTGGAAACAGTATGTTGGAATTCCTTAAAACGGATATATACATAAGACAACCCCAGTTCTTCATTAAAATAGAAATTCTTGCCTAGTGAGATTGGTCACTTTAAGCAAAGGAAAATCATAAAAATGAAATAAAATGAACAATATCATTAATCAGTCTCCCCAAGTTCATCTCTAAAACCACTCACTCTCTTTCCAAGATTTAATTCTTATGCAGGGTATATATATCATACAGAGATGTGTATGATATACAATATACAATTTCTACACATTGTTAGAAATCAATGCAGAGATGTGCTTTACTCAGTACATACCAATTCAATTTTATTTCAAATGTACTATTAAATTTTGTTTTTACAGAAATCATTGAGTTCTTATGCCAAATTCTGGTTGCCCTGAATTTTTAAGGGTCTTTATTATACCATTGGGTCAGATAGAATTTAAATACAAATATTGTAATTATGTCATGTCACAGTAGTGAGACATTTCCACATTTACAGAGGATTTTATATAAGAAGCTGTGCTTTGTAAGTGCTCCCTCAGTTCTGTTCATCTTACTGTCACCCTCTCTCTCTTTTCCCTTACAAAACATCTCTTCAAATATATCCATTTCTGGGGCACCTGGGTGGCTCAGTCAGTTAAGCATCTGAGTTCGACTCAGGTCATGATCTCGTGGTTGATGAGTTCGAGCCCAGCATCAGGCTCTGTGCTGACAGCTTGGAGCCTGGAGCCGGCTTCGGATTCTGTGTCCCCCTCTCTCTCTCTGCCCCCCCCTTGCTCATGTTCTCTCTCTCTCTCTCTCTTTCTCTCTCTCTCTCTCTCTTTCTCTCTCTCTCTCTCTCTCCAATAAACATTAAAAAATTTTAAATATATATACTTATTTCTTTAATTAAAAAAACTAATTTCAGCAACTCATACCAGCCCTATCAAAACACAAAGGAGCTAAAACCAAAACAGGATGAAAGTGATCTGTACACAGATGCCCCCAGATCCATGGCCTCAGTCAGAACTTGTCTTCTTCTTTTTACCAGTTCAGAAGGGGTGTTAGCGGTCTCATCCTCAGGACCTGTATCAAGGGATGTAGCTTCTAGCCATGTTGTGTTTATGTCAAAATTTACAATAAAACATGTAATTTAAGATTCATTAAACTGAGGTTGAGTCCTTGGGTGACGACCAGGGTAAATAGGGAGGGGAGGAATCAGGAAAGATGACACAGAAAGAAGAGTCCACTAGAGAAGGAAATATTTAGAAACTTAGAAATATTACACTATGTATAAAATATATACAGTGAACCACATGTTATTAGCACTCTAAAATTACAGCCCAATTTTTTGTTATGATTTTGAATTTGCACAAAATTTTAAATGGGAATACAGATGAGCACCCATGTATAGCTTCATTGCCTTCAATTTCTAAATTGGGGGGGGTGCAGAATATGGCTATGATATTTGATAATCAGGTGTCTTATAATGGGAGGTGCACCACACACACACAGACACACACACACACACACACACGAATCTCAAAGGTCAAAGTTGGTTTTTAGCTGAAAATAGTTTGCAGGCAACTTACAGTTATTCCTAGCATTGGTAGTGACGTGTTGATAATGTCATTCGCTGTGTCTGAATTTGTCACTGTTACAGTCACAGACTACAAAAAATAAATAAGAAAAATTGCCATAAGTTTAAAGACTTGAAATCAGGTGACTAATTATTGCCAAATTATTATCCACATTCTAAAGGCAAAGCTTGTTTTCAGTTAATGACAAAATAAAGCACATGTAAAGCATAACTCTTAATTATGTTTTTGTTTCTTTCTATAACATGAAACTAGTAGGAAACATTTAAGTAAAACATATATTTCTCTTATAAGATTTGTGACACACAAAATATAGCAGCTTAAGGAATAAAAAAAAAAAAAGATTGAGAAGTCCAAGAAGATATGTGGGCCGATCCTCAGCTCCATAAAGCTATTTCCAAAATGGAACAGAGGGATAGTTTAAAAAAAGGAGCTGGATGCTTTTCTATCTTCCTGAGTTGTGTTATTATAGTATGGCTTTATTTCTTTGCAGTTACATACTCAGTTTCTGTAAAATCAGAGTAGGAACTGGCTATAAAAGGCATTTAAAAAATTACTATTTAGTTAGTACTTTCTTTGTGTCAGGCATCATAGTTACTAAGATTTTCATTGTTGAAATCTGTTGAGACAAATAAAACCAAGGAGTCTAGGAAATGAGATTGAAAATTTTAGAAATTTACATTGATTCCCAACTCTGCCAGTGAGTAGCTTAAAATAGCTCTCTACCATACCTTCCATTGAGAAACTGCTACACAAAACTAGAACATTTTACAGAAAATTGCCTGAAAGGGATTAGCAGGATTCTGAGATGTAATCTATAAAACTATCTGAATTCCAAAAGACATTTTAAAAAAAGACAATACGTAACCAATCAGATAATATATAATATTATTAGACAAGGAGGCCTATGTCCTTTGATAAAGAGTGCTTAAATAAGACAAACAGCACAGTGGACACTCATAGCCTTTAAAAATATTCAGAACAAAGCTAAAAGAAACTTTTTCATATTTCATTACTTGTCCTTTCATTGTATTTTTCTTCTTATGAATTGAATGCAATTATTTCATCATCAGATGGCTATGAAAGTTGATAATCAGACTTTTATAAACAAAAGCATTCATTGATTTCAAACTACTTGTAGCTTTAAGGAGTATAAAAAAGTGTTCTGAACCCAGCAGCAGAGCTCAGAGCACCCAAACTCAGGGATGTAAGGGGATTCCTATCCTAAATTATCTAGGAAGATTCAAACAGTGTGTCTTAGCTTGGTATTTAATTAGAAGTAATGGTTCTGCTATTTTTTAAGATATCTGAAAACCTTTCAATACAACTTAAAAACTCTCCCATGAAATCTTTTTTAATATAAAAAAAGATCTCTTTTGAAATGCTAATATCAGTCCTTAATTTATTTGGTCTGCAAGGTAATGGTTTTCATGGCATAAGGAACATATTCTGTTCAAAACAGTAATTCCAAGGTGTAATTTTCCTGCATGTAGTATGTTCTTCAAAACAGACAAATTTCAGTAGATAGAGCTCTTTGTAAACAGTTAAGCTTTTAAGAAATAAACTAATTTTTGAAATAATTTAAAAGAAAAGGAAATGTTGCTTTCTCATCTCATATGAAGAACCAGGAAAGTGTGATCAATTCTCAAGAGCTAAAGCCAACGCTGAGATGATCTAGATATTCAGATTGTTAGGCAAAAACAGCAATTATAATACTTCTCAATGATACAAATGAGAATGAGATACTTATGTTCACAATAAACAAAAGGGAGGCATCTTAGCATAGAAATTAAATATATTGAAAAATAGAATTTTTTTTATCTGAGAAATATCTTTAAAACATTTTACCGGCTAGACTACGTTGTATAATGGGGATGACAAATGGAAGTCAGTGATTTTGGAAGATAATAGAAATTATCCAGTTTGAGGAAGAAAAGGGTAAAAAAGATTGAAAAAAATTAACAGAGTCTGAGGAACCAGTGAACAGTATGAAAGGGTCTAATACACATATAATTGAAATTTCAGGAGAGAAGAAAGAATATGGGGAAGAAAACGTTTGAGGTAATAATGATTAAAAGTCCCCAAATTTGATGAAAGACAAGTTTATAAATTCAAGAAGATTAGAATATGCCAAATAGGACAGATTCAAAGAAAACCATGCTTTTATACATCATAGCTCCACTGTGAAAAACCAAAAATAAAGAGGAAATCTTCAAAGCAGCTACAGAAATTGACAAATCACCTTCAGATGATTGGTGTTGAATGACTACAGACTACTTATCAGAAAGTACCGAGACAAAAAAAAACAAAAACAAAAAAACAGTGCAACGCCTTGAAAGGGCCAAAAGGAAAAAATTTGCAAACAAAATTCTGTATCCACAAAAATATCTTTCAAGAGTGAAGGTGAAATAAAGCCATTTTTAGATAAAAGAAGAAAATCTGCCTACACCAGATTTGTACAACAAGAAATGCCAAGGATCATTTCTCTAGGATAAAATGAAACTGTGGTAGGGGGAAACTTGGATCTTAGGAGTGAATTAAAAACATTCTTTTGTGTAAATTATACGTAAGGAAAGTTGATTTTTAAAAATTTCAAAGTAACTCTCCATGAAACATTGTGAGTGTAACCCACTGGCATAGTTGAAATCCACGCAAGCGGAGATGAGAGTGTGCTCTGCTTTGGAGAACTCTCTGCTCTTATCTCCTTCATGCAGTGCATCTATCTGGTGCTTGGAAACAGATCACAATATTTGCACGGCTTTTCCTTTGGCCAGGAAGTAACTGTTCTTCAACTAAGTCTTTTTCCACCTTCAAATACTGTTTTGTGTGATTTAGAGCTACTGTGAAGTAGTACAGAAAAAAAAAAAAGTCATTTAAAAATACCCAAAATATCATTGTAAATGTCTTGGCTACTGCACTACAATTTCAGAAATCAAACGTTATACAAATAACTGGGGCAATTGGTTTGATTTTTTCCCCCAATAGCATAAAGAAAGTGGGGTAGAAATATGTTGATCTCTTAAAAGTCAATCAATCCTGATATTCCTTGGAACAAAAGGCCCTTCAAAACTCCTCTGCATTTGATGTATCAACTAAATGTAATACCTGACCCTTGAGTGGATCCTGTACTAGAAAGGAGATGTTATTGAGGTCAATTGACAAAATGGGAACACGAATGGCCTACTAAAGTGTTATACTAATGTTAAATTTACTAAAGGTGATAACTGCATGGTGGTAATAGAATACCCTTACTCTTAGGAAATACTTAGGTTTAAGGATAAAGGGCCATGGTTTATCTATGACCCTCAAAAATCAGTATATACCCACACATAATAGACACAGAGAAGGAAAACAAACGATAAAGCACATGGAGTAAAGTGTTACTGATAGGTGAATCTAGGGAAAGAGTACATGGGATGTTTTTTGTACTACTTTTATTTTTGCAACTTTTCTGTAAGCTTATAATTATACCAAATAAAACATCATAGGGGGAAAAAGAACTGTGGAAACCACCCAAATCATTTCATACATAAGTAGTGACCTTTGGAAAAAAAATGTTTTAATTCTAGTAGGATATAACTGCGTGTGAAAATCACTTTATTACAAGCCACTGTAATTGCTATTAGAAGGACTTAGAGAAATATTACGGACATTTAAAATGCAATACTTTTTCCCTGCTTCAACACTGTAGGTAGCATGGCTTCCTCTTGCTTCATATTACCTAAGATTCACTTTTTATGTATACAAAGACATACATGTAGACAGGGAAGTACATTTTCCCACATGATACTTCTTTAAATACTCTCTCTCCTCCTCTCTTTTCTCCTTTCTACCTCCTCATTTCTTTCTCCCTCCCTCCCTCTCTATCTCCACTCCCCTCTCCATCTTTTTCATTCTGTCTAAATCAGGAACTTGGAATTTAATTGTTGGTCTTAAAAGCACTTACACCGGCACAGTTCTTGATGTCTTCAGTGAAGATTTTGAGGGGGATGCTTTTTGGCTGATCCTTCTCTTTGGCTAGATTGATGTACCTAATCAAATTCAATAATAACACAAAATAGAGTAGGATGATTTACCTATTAGCTTACATTCAAATTAATCTATGTTGCTAACATTTTCAACATACTTTGTCATTTTTAAAAGCAAACAGGGGCACCTGGGTGGCTCAGTTGGTTAAGTATCTGACTCTTGGTTTTGGCTCAGGTCATGAGATCATGTGCCGTGAGATCGAGCCCTGCATTGGGCTCTGTACTGACAGCATGGAGTCTGCTTGGGATTCTCTCTCTCCTTCCCTCTTTGCCCCTTCCTGCTCACTCTGTCTGTCTGTCTGTCTCTCTCTCAAAATAAGTAAACATTTTTTAAAAAGCATGTAAATAAAAATCCAAATAAAATTATGGGCTGGAAAAAAACCTGCAAAAATATTTCAAGAAAATGAGACATGACTCAGAAAACAACAGTTTGCTCTCATCGTGTGAGATCTGAGCAGTAGATTTAGTCATCAAAGACTTCCTACCTCGACTGGAGGGCCCAGCACCATCCTGGGTTCCAGGGTAGGAATTAGCAGTTGCTAATTACTGAATAGAGTAATCTGCATTTAAGGAAATAAATGTTTTGGGAATAATGTTAGAGCCAATCATTAGATTGGAAAGAAGGGAAGATGAGAGTGATAACCAGAACTTCATCAAAAATACGAAAAATATGCAGATATATGAGAGCACAGTATCTTCAGTAACAGCCAGGGTAAATCTAAATAAGAAATTATTTGAGGATAGTCTAACGATTTCTACTAAGGAGAAGGAGAATAGTTTGAGGGCATAGCTTTGAAGAAATTTGCATTCTTTTTTTTGTGGGTTAAAGATTTAAAATATGTATACTGACAAAATACCTTTGAAGGAAAGAGTGCCATTTTTCCTTTAGTTCTGAAGAACTGCAATTTAAAAAATGGAAGGAAAATCAAACTACATGAAATACTTATACTAATGCTACAAACTACATGTAATAATTCTATTAAGATCTCCATTCAGACAAAAATATCAGCAGCCAGTTGTTACTGATGTGGTTATGTGTGTAAGTTGTATTCTCCTCACAATTTGAGCTTTTGATGGACCCTGCTCTTTTATGAGCGGTAGTACAGTAATGGGAAATAGATCCTAAAGTGGAAGAAAAGTTGGTTTCTAATCTAAACGCTTAATTGTAACTATGTGATGCAAGCTATGTGATCATGGGCACGTTGCTTAACCACTCTGAGTTTCAGTTTCCAGAACTGGAAAAGAAGATGCGAGTGATAACCAGTGATAATTTTACCTCAGAGTGTTCCTGCTATTCAAATATAAAGAAACATTATCATTCAAATTAAATTGTACTTAAGAAATTTGGCATTTGGATGGAACTATTTTGGCCCAGAAATATGAATATCTTTCTTTAGGAAAAAACATTCGTAATGTTTTTTACGAAAAAATGAAGAATTTTTACAATCATTACAATAAAATGAAGAATTTTATTTCTTCATACATCTAGGAGACCGTAATATGTTAAATGAGTTCCTAGAAAACTTATTCTTCTTTACTATAATCCTCTGAGCAAAATCAATCCATCTACTGCTAAATTACTAAAGGTATTTTCTGTGCTAAAGTTTCCATAGGATTTTGTAGTGAAAAATGCAAATATTTTAAGGCACATTCATTCATGGACTTATCACTTACTAGCATTTTATTGTAATAAGTTACACCATAACATTGAACATTAGTGAGTTTTAGTACATTTGCACTACTGTGCAACCATCATAACTACCTAGTTCTGGAACATTTTAATCACCCAAAAGCAAACCCTGTGTGCATTAAATAGTCACTCTCCATTTCCCACTGTCCCCAGCTCTTATACCACATTTTGTTTATTTGTTGATAAACACTTGGGTTGTTTTCCTCCCTCCTTATGTTTTGCTTATTATTGACAATGCTGCTATGAATGTTTGTGTATCAATTTTTGTACAGACGCATGTTTTTCATTTCACTTGGGTATATATCTGGAAGTGGCATTGCTGGGTCATATGATAATTCTGTTTAACTTATTGAGGAACCATCTAACTGTCCACAGTGGCTGCCACATTTTATATTCCTACCAACACTGTTCCCCGCCCCCTCCATCACCATTTCAAGACCTGTTTCATCAGAAACTTGGAATGCCCTTTTAGCATCCCAACCTGCATGGACATAGGTTCTAAATACTTATGCCAATCTGCAGAACAGTAATAATAACAAATAGCAAAAGCACTAGGTACCAGACATTGTTACAAATGCCTTATATATTCATACAGCTTTTTAACTAACATAACTTGTGCAATCTGGCTCCACATTTCCTCTCTCATTAGGAAAAAAAAGTTTCTTAGAAACTCCGTTATCAAAGACTTTCTATATTCCCAATTGAAGCTATTTCCTTCCATTTGCAACATGGAGAGGACACTAAGCAATAGGAAGTGATAATCTTTATGGAAATATGTTGTGGAAAAAAGGCATGCAGAGATGATATAAATCCATATTTCTTTCCAATAAGCTTTGAAAAATTTTTCATTATGTCAACAGCTACATTGCAGCTGTTTATTATTTAATAAATTAACAATGTGTAAATATTTTCATTGTTTCATCTTTATGATGATGTGAGAGATTTTGGTGAAGTGGGGTGAAGAGAAGAAAGAAGGGTGATGTGTTCATGTGATGAACACTCCTTGTATAAAGCAAGAATGAGAGACTTGGGGTGTGGTTGTTTCAAACAACAGATGCATGTGTTGCATGACTCCTGTAAACCCAGGAGTGTCTCTCAGGATGTTCAGGGTAGAGGGCCAAATTCCCCATCCTGATGTGGGCCTAAAAATGTGTCTTGCACAACTCAGCTCTATTCCATGGACTCAAAGTCTCTACAGACACCAACTAAGATAATCTGCACAGCAATTCAGGCAACCTCGTGTTCAAAGACATAATTGATTTATTTGTAGTAATTACATCTTACTTAAAGGAATTGACTTGGGAATATAAAAGCAATTTTTCAAATTTAATTGGACTATTTAATAGTACTTGCTCAAGAGAAATATTCCTGTGATTTACAAACACAGATAGCTCCCTGGGAATTGGGGAGCAGGATATCAGAGAGGGGCCCCAGAACCACACTCTCTTGATTCTCCTCCACATACCCAGAACACCCAACTCCTCAAGTGGCTCCTAGAGCCCACCTGAAAAACCACTGACCAAATCCAAAGGAAATTAGTCCAGTGGTTCCCACTCTTTATTATCCTATTCCTTACATTTGCACATAAAAACCTTTCTGGAGAAAGCACAAGGCAAACAAGTGTCATCAATGGAGGTTAAAAGTGAGTCACTGGCTTGACATACAATCAGGTTAAATGTTTTCCTTTCTAACCTCTGTAAATACAAGACCAAGTTGTAGGTCTTACCTGAAGGTGGCCACAAAGTTCACTGTGGGCCAGCCCAAGATGAAGGACCTCTCAGCACCAATGCTGGCATCTTCTACTTTGTCCATACAGTTGGCAGTCCACAAGGTGCTCAGTGGTATTTTATTCTTTATCTTAAAGTTTTTTTTATAACTAGAAAGAAAGATATTCAAACAAGACATCTGTTAGTTTGTTTCATATATGTTATGGGAGCATCTAGGCTGGTGAGATACCCGGGCTCATTGCTCCAGGGCAAAGCCTGTCTCCAGTCATCTCCATTACCCTCTGCACACAGCACAGGAGACGGTTAGATGGGTGTTTACAAAGTGTGTGTTGAGCAAAGTCTGGCCTAGGAAGACACTCAAAACACTTCCCCCAGCCATTTTTCTGCATGTTGAGTATTAAGGAAAGACTATATATTTTAAAGCATGTAAAGAAAACCATCAATTCATTTATTATTGCTAGATTTGTTACTTATTATTATATATAATTTTATGATTATTATTACAGTTAATTATTCATTTATGTTTTGCTTACTTAAAAAAGTATTTGAGGCCTGAACAAAGATACACAATACATGATTTTTTTTTTTTTTTGATAGAGAGGGAGAGAAAGAGTGTGCACAAATACAGGTGGGGCAGGAGGAGAGGGAGAGAGAGAATCTTAAGCAGGTTCCATGCCCACCACAGAGCTTGGCTAGGGCTTGATCTCACAACTGTGAGATCATGACCTGAGCTGAAATCAGGAATTGGATGCTTAATCAACTAAGCTACCGAGGCACCCCCGATAAAAATAGTTATACAGTTTTTTTCCTACAAGAGACAAACCAAAAACAAAAAATAAAAAAATGTTTTTAATGTTTATTTATTTTTGAGAGAGAGAGACACAGAGCATGAGTGGGGGAGGGTCAGAGAGAGAGGGAGGCACAGAATCCGAAGCAGGCCCCAGGCTCTGAGCTATCAGCACTAAGCCCAACACAGGGCTCCAACCCACAAACTATGAGGTCATGACCCGAGCTGAAGTTGGCCGCTTAGTCAACTGAGCCATCCAGGTGCCCCTAAAAGTTATTTTCAACCTTAAATTTAAAAAAATATTTTCAGGGCTCCTGGGTGGCTCAGTCAGTTAAGTGTCAGACTTCAGCTCAGGTCATGATCTTGCACTTCATGACTTTGAGCCCTGCATTGGGCTCTCTGCTGCCAGCACAGAGCCTGCCTAGGATCCTGTGTTCCCTTCTCTCTCTCTGCACCTATCCTGCTCCCTCTCTCTTTCCCTCTCTCTCTCTCCCCCCCTCTCTCTCTTTTTCACACACACACACACACACACACACACACACACACACACACACATGTACTCTCTCTATCTTAAAAATAGAAACATTAAAAGAAAAATCCTTTGGGATAATATTTCTACCCATTTTCATGGTCTGTGTAGATTCTGTGTGACTGGACACCTGAATATAGTATCACATCTGATCTCATGATCCATACTTTAGGCTCCAGTCAAACCAGCCTTCCCTGTGCTCCTTCCTTGAAGGGGCCAGGTGGCACCAACTTAGGCTTGCCAGTCCCTCAGCCTAGAAGGTTCAGCCATCTTGTCTAGGAATGTGGCTGCTTCTCACCAAATCTAGTTTAAACACTGCCATCTCAGAGCGATCCTCCTAGACAACCCTCTCTAATACCTTCCCATCTTTGCCACATGGCACCCTTCTACCAGAAGCACTAATCACAATCTATAAATTTTCCCTTTTATTTTTTGTCTTTTATATTTTTTGTCCCTTTTATAGCCTTTGTCTATAGATCCCAGGTAAGAGAGACACCAGGTAAGAGAGACACCACCTGTCACGTTCTCAATTGTATTCTCTGCAGGGGCATGGTACAATACAAGACTTCCATAATTGAATGAAGGAAGGATCAAAGCACTTGCAAAACAAAAGAAAAAAAAAACAATGTTTTCATACAGGAAGGGCTAACCTAAATGTAGCTGTATGATAATCAAGAAGGTGTGTAGCAGAGTATACATACTTGGTATTTGACATCAGCAACAAATCGCTGAACAAGAAGAGGTGCCGTTTCTGCCTCTTCCAACCTTGCTTGAGTTCAACAGGGCCATGGAGAAGTAGGGTACAGGTGGCACCCTCAGCTGATGTAGAGTTTTCATTGTGGGCATCCATCTCAGCAGAAGACCTTTGCCAGCAAGCACATCAAACACCATGGTGCAGCTAGTTACTCAGTCAAATATACAATGTAGTTTTATGCTAACCGTCAGGGTTCACATAGCACTAAAAATTAGTCTCAACCTCCAAAGCAAGACTCCAGAGCTCAAACTCAGAACTCACCAAGTTACAGAAGGCTATTGACAGAGAAAAGATCACTTGGGGAATTGATACAAATGGAGACAGTTTCAAGGACAAAGCCCTTGGGCATGTCAACTTTTAGAGGTGAGGAGGAGAAAGCAGCAAAGCTAATCACGAGCTGTTCTTTGGAAGGGGAGAACCGAGAGGAGGCCAAAGGTAGAGCGTATTATAAGAAGGTGGACCACCACCAACAAACAATGCAGTTTGTGGCCTAATAAAAATTACATGATATTTGTAAATAATTAAGGACAGCTTGGCTTCATGTTAACATAAAAATGTAGATAATTAAAGATCCTGGAAAACCGACCCCAGTCTTATCTGAATCAATATTCAAACTTGAGGAAAATTCTGAAATATCAGCAAAACTAATGAGAACATCAAAAAGTTTATAAACATAAGAGTATAACTATTACTTGGCTGAGATATGACTCTGACAGGACTTTCTGGTAATCATAGGTACAACAGCAAAATTGCACGGAATGCAAAAATTCTTTCATAAATAGTATAGATTATTTCATAAACCAGAAAATTCTCTCTCACGGGGCCAAGAAAGTGCCTTCCCCCAGAATGTAAAGCCCCCTCCCCTCTCAGCAACACTGAATCTTAGGAACATGAGTAGCTTTTCATGAAACTGGTGCTGACATTACGAATTAGTCCATATGTGTTAGAAGAAACAAAAGAGAACACTTCCACTTACTATCAGTCTGTTTTGATGATCAAAAATAGTATATTAAAAGACTACCTTATAAGGTGAAGACTTGAATGATCACCTAAAAGTTCAATATGCTTTCTGATTGACGTGAACATCCTTTTTTCTTCAAATCTTGGCACTGAAAATGGAGTGAGTCTACAGCGCTTGGCAACAGTTTTTGAAGCCTGAGGATTCCACACCAGTTAAAGATCACTGCCTCTATGATGTCACGGTTCTAAAGCTTAGGTGATGGCTGCCAAACTGACATACTTGTTTCCCTGATTTGGCCTTCATCTTTTGATGTTTTAAAGTTAATCTTTTTATTTTGAGATAACTGTGGATTCATATGCAGCTGTAAGAAATAATACAGAGAGATTACATCAGGTTTTTACTCATTTTCCCCTAAGGGTACTATCTTTCTAAACTATAGTACAGTATCATAACTAGGATATTAACAATGATACAATAAAGATACAAAACACTTCCATTACCACAAGGGTCTTTCATATCACTTTTTTACAGCCAGAGACTTCCTCCCATGCCCACCACCTCTTTCATCCCTGGCAATCACAAATCCGTTCTCCATTTCTATAATTGTGCCAGTTCAAGAATGTAATAAAAATGGGATCATACAGTATGTAACATTTTTGGATTTGCTTCCTTCCATTCAACATAATTAGAGATTCATCCAGATGGCTGGAGGTATAGTTCATTTCTTTGTGTCTCTGAGTAGTATGCCACGATATGGATATATCACTGTTTGCTTAGCCAACTGGTAAAAGAGTTCTGGATTGTCTCCAGGCTTTGGCTATCACTAATACAGCTGCTATACACATTTGTGCACAGGTCTTTGTGTCAGTGTAAGTCTTCACTTCTCTAGGCTAAATGCCTAAGTGCAACTGCCAGGTTGTATGATACATGTTATGTGCTGTTTTTTAAGAAACTGTCAAACTGTTTTCCAGAATGGCTGTACCATTTGACATTCTCGCCAGTACTATATGAGCAATTCAGTTTTGCCACATTCACACTTGCACTTGGTGCTGTCTTTTTTTTTTTTTTTTTTAATTTTAGCTCTTCTGATAACTGCATAGTGATATCTCATGGTGGATTTAATTTGCATTTTCTTAATGGCCAATGATGCTAAACATCTTTTCATGTGTGTATTTGCCATCTGGACCTCTTGAGTGCCATAGAACCTACAAAACTCTGTCGAAGACATTTTATGGAAAGATGATGTTCCCTTTGCACTAGAAAACTGACCACTTTACAGATGAGGTGGGCAGCTGCACAGACAGGTTAGATAACTTTGAAGCCAGGCAGCCATGATGTAACCTGAGGGATTCAAATCCAGCTGACTTAGGAAGTCACGCAGCTTCCTGTGAGCTCCCCTCTCCCCTAATCTCTTCTCATAGGGACAGTCACTTTCCTTTGACAACTGTGGAAGACTGGAATTTGATCCTACTGACAAAGTTTATGGTTCCTCTTACAGGCTCTTGTAACAGGTATCTGAATACATGTCTTTTATTCCCCTCTAGACTCTATGGACCTCAAGGTAAAGTCTATATCTAATTTATCATTTACCTCTCACGAGCTTTGGTGCATTAGTGGAATGCAAAAATTCTATTGAATGAGCGAATGAAAGTTTCCTGGCACTGATGGAGAGGGGAACAGCGTGACCTAAAATAGTCTGTCTCTCACTTACTTCATTCATTCAACAGATAGTGTTTGGACCTGTACTAGGAGAAAGGCACTTGATAGGTCTGGGCAACAGGGACCCAGGCCCAACGCTCACAAAACCTGGGTTTTTTAAAAAAAATTTTAATGTTTTTTTATTTATTTCTGAGAGAGAGAGAGGGAGAGAGAGAGAGAGCGAGAGAGAGAGCAGGAGGGGAGGGTCAGAGAGAGAGGGAGACACAGAATCTGGAGCAGGCTCCAGGCTCTGAGCTAGCTGTCAGCACAGAGCCTGACACAGGGGCTCAAACCCACAAACCGTGAGATCATGACCTGAGCCGAAGTTGGATGCTCAACCGACTGAGCCACCCAGGCGCCCCTCACAAAATCTGGATTTAAATGAGGGGAGAGGAGAGCAAAAATTAAACAAAGAGTCCCAACAATAACTATGTAACACCAGACTCTGGAAAGTACTGCAGAGAAAAAGAGTGAAATGAGAAATTAAAAGAGGGAACCAACACACCTGATTTCAATTGTGGAGAGGGCAAGCGAGCGCTCTTTGGAATTGAGCTTTAAAGAACAATTTGGAATTATTTAGTGAGAGGACAGGAAAGGAGAAGGATGAGGGGAGGGAAGAGGAGAGAAGAGAAATGGTTGGCGAGGGAAGGTTCATTTTTCAGCGGAAGGGACAGCATGCAAATGTCAGAGACATGGAAGAGTTTGCTAGATTGGAGGCACAGGCAGAAGGTACAGGAGAGTGCAGTATGCCTGCAGAGCTAGCTAGAGGCCAGAGCACAGGTCCTTGCAGACTTTGGTAAGGTCTCTTATCTTAAAACCAAACTAGCACAGAAGTGGCAAGTAGATAGTGGCATCCAGACTTCTCATCACTTTCACAGCGACAAGTGCTAGCTGGGACCTGTTTGACTGTATTTAGACCCATGGAGCTTATTGGGCAACACTTTCTGGCCTTTCATCAAGCATCTGTCAAAATCTATTTAAGGTACGAAATGAAGGCAGACTTATCTCTGCACCTTTCCCAACTCCCAGATTATATCCTATTCCCCGCTTCTTCCCTTCAGAGATTTTAGAAATTTAAAGACCAGGAAAACTACTCTCCTTCTAGAATCTAGTCCATGCTTATCAGTTGTGATATGCATCAGACTCTCCTGGGGGAGCTTTTCAGGCACTCCTCTCCCAGAAGTTCTGATTCATTAGATCTGGGAAGCCTGTATTTTTAAAAACTTTTTTTTTTGAGTGAATCTTTTATGGAACCAGGATTGTGAGTGACTGATTTTTAGGGATTAACTGAGACAGATGTAGTGTTCTGATACCATCTACCCCTTGTAGTGGTGCAAAGGAGAGAAAAGTTTTTCTGAGAAAGATCAAGGGAGTTTTCCTTAGTCACGTAATAGTTACCTGCACATGGAATAGCTAAAGCTTAATTCCTTCCAAAATGCCATTGTTATTTATTTTAATTTGATGAGTGAGCTCTAAACAGAATAAGAGTGGCAGGGTCTGTTTTCATTTATTTCATTGAACACTGAACTCTTCGTCTTAAATATCAACTAGAAAACATAGTATAAGGTGATCCTATGTCAAGAATAACATTTTTAAGCACTTTGAAAATACAGGACTATTTTCTTAATTCACTTTCTTTCTTTTAAGTTTTTATTTTATTTTTATTTGAGTTCTAGTAAAATTAATACACAGGATTATATTAGTTTGAGTTGTACAATATAGCACTTCAACAATTCTATATGTTACTCAGTGCTTATCATGAGAAGTATACCCTTAATTCCCCTCACCTGTTTCACCCATTCCCCTACCCATCTGGTAACCATCAGTTTGTTTTCTATAGTTAAGAGTCTGTTTTTGGTTTGTCTCTTTTTTTCCTTTATTCATTTGTTCTGTTCCTTAAATTCCATGTATAAGTGAAATCATATGGTATTTGTCTTTCTCTGACTTATTTCACTGAGCATTATTCCCTCTAGCTCACACATGTATTCTGCCATTACGAAAGCCCAGGAGAGAGAACAGGTAGTAATATCGATTGAATAACTACAGATTGCCAAGTTCTTTGCCAGGCAGTTTATGGACATATCTCATTTTCTTGCAGCAGATTTATGAGATAAGAATCATTATTTCCATTTTATAGATAGAGAAACTGAAGATCAATAAAGTTCAGTAACTGAGAATCACATACCTAATAGTTCATAGAGTCAAGTTTGTCTAATTTCAAAGTCATATCATTTTTCCATGCCTAAACAATGTTTCCCTTCTGGAGGAGGAAAGAAAATATATTTTAAGCCACATCTGATGTAGGTTGGCTCTCAAAATGGTTAATTGACACATATGTGAGTGTTTTCATCAACTGTCTATGTTTGCATGTTTATGGTCCCCATAACCTATTCAATCTCTCCTCCCTGAAATGGCTGGTGTGGAATTCTTAATCACTGCTGGTAGCACGTGTTAACTCTCAGACAGGAAGTGTGCATCAGTTTCAAGGTGGATAGGACATTCCTGTTACTTTAAGTAGCAAGACTTTAGGCTTTAGATAGGCTGGGAAGTAGGAGTTAGGACTGTGAAAGTGCTCTAACGGTTCCCCTCCAGATGTCTAGTGGTTCTAATCTCTATGATAGATACCGAAGCTGTGAATTGTGGCTAAATCTTTCCAGTGCCTCCTCAGCTTGATCCCCATCCTGGGTCAGTAATATCTCTCTTGACTCTGGCACTTTGGACTTTCTACTACCACTAATTGATTTTTTACCTCTATAAAGAAAGGGAAAGAGGGATGCCCAGACCTTGTCAGGGAGTGCTTACTCCACTACCCTTTGCTGCCCTCTACTGACTATACCTGGAAATTACATGTAACTGTTCAGGCCCCTGGACACTAAAGTGAGTGAAAACAGGCACGCAAAATTTGAGGGTGCACCAAAACACTTAGTAAAAAAGATATGATATTTTAAAAAGCAAAATTAGAAAGATACATGATAAAGAAAATATCTAAATGTACCCTAAAATAGTACTACTACTAGCTTATATGTACACAGACCCCATCATTCATCATTTCATTCAAGAAAAAAGTCAAATACCACAGTGGAAAATCATGCTACTAATATCGACCAACGTTATTTATTATTCAAATATATGGGGGGAAATCCTATAAAATTTAGATTAAACCAACAACAAAAATGAGAAGGTCCAAGTGGAACAGATTTAACAGCTCCTGAAGAAAACAGGTAAGACAACAGAAAAAAAAAAAATTGATACCAAAACACACACACACACACACACACACACACACACACACACACACATGTCTTCAGAGTCAAGAAGCCAAAGAATTGGTGGCTATGAAATAAGAACAAAGAGAGAAAGAGTTCTTGGAAACTAAAGGTATCATTGACCAAATTAAATTTAATAGAAAGTCTTGAAGATTGAGTTTAAGGAATCCATTTGACATTGACACTTGGAATATTCATCTTTCAGT